CACAACAGCCACATACATCCTGAATCCTTGGTGTGCAGGGCCTGTGGCCAATATATGGTAAGGTACGGGGGGGTTATAAGGTTTTAGTCTCCGAGAAGAGAAATCAGGTATGTTCCTTGCATCAGAGGAAAAAAAAAGAAAAATAAACAGAGATGAATCGGACTATGATTTTAGGTTTTTTGAACTTTTTTCTTTTTTTCTTTGCTCCAAACTGAATGCATATTTACTATTTAGATCCGAGGGGGTGTGACCTGGCAGGAGTGTTGTTTCAGGTTGGGCTCGTCCCATCTGGCGGTTGGGTCCGATTGCCAGATGTGTATTCAAATCTAAGTCCGAGTGACCTGGTAGGAGTGATGTTTCGGGCTGGGCCGCCCTGGGGGGGTGATTAGTGAACTTGGGATCGTCATCAATGGACTGGAGGCCCTGGGCAAAGGACTGCAACCCTACTACTCTGGGGCAACCCTAGGGGCGGTAGGTTGCTGAAAGTAATCAGAGTGAAGTCCGTAGCCCAGCCCGCCATGGATCGCTCCATGATGGGTCTGATTACCAGCAGGTGAGGCTCCCCACCAATGGACAGGAGCCTCTGGCCAACTGACTAGAGGACCTACTACCCTGGGCCTACCCTAGGGCGAGTAGGCTGCTGAAGCGAATCAAAAACAAGTCCCTAGCCCCACCCCAGTATAGATTGCTCTCACTCACTAACACACTGGTGACACAGCGAAGCCACCATCGCCAGGGCCAATGGCACTGCTGGACGGTAGAGTAGACTTGTGTCATGCGGCAAACAATTGCACTGAGTGAAAGCCACAGAAACATGGTGGATAATTATGGGGTCTGATAAAAAACTTGAATCTATCTTGGCCTCATGCGCAACGGTGAGTGATATTGACGCATAGGCACTTTTATTTTTGCTTTTTTCATTGCAGCAATGTGTCAAATGCCCCTGAAAGTTGGCTTATTTTTCCAGACGCATAGGCACTTTTATTTTTGCTTTTTTCATTGCAGCAATGTGTCAAATGGCCCTGAAAGTTGGCTTATTTTTCCAACCCCCCCAAAAACAGAGGGGTATAGCATAATATCCTCCTGACAGGCGGGGGGCTTAGCCAAGTTTCCACTCATGGGTTGCAGAGGTATCTTTTGCATGTGCCCCTAGTGCATTTGATTTCTAAATACGTGGTCCGTTGGACCTCGGGTGATACATATTGGATATGCCACTACTGGTGGGGACTTTTTCTGGTTGCCCCTCCTGTTGAGCCCATTCCCATAAGCTGAGACTGCCGTTACTTGGACAAAACAGAAATGGCCATCTTTTCCTGCTTCCCTGCATTGAAATTCAGCTGGGTGGCAGCTCTCTCTCTCTCTCTCTCTCTCTCTCTCTCTCTCTCTCTCTCTCTCTCTCTCTCGGGCACGGCGCACGCACTCGTCCGGATTATCCTCCTTTTATTTCGATGGTCTCGTGCACCCTGGCGGATTTTCCTTTTTTTTTTAATACTCAGGTTAGCCATGTTTGGGCGGTTCAGCGCAAAGTGCCCACGCACCCGTCTGCCGCCGAAGCGGCATACTTGCACAGATACATATATACATATACATATATTTATTTAATGATAATTTTAATCCATAAAAGGGCGAAGGGCAAAAAGCAACTTACCTAAGACAGAGGACTCCAACAGCAAGAAAGCACCGAGCCCATCCCCCAGAGGTCTGAAGAAACTTGGAGAGCCTCCACGTCGGAGGCCTACAAAACCACAAACCAGAGGGTGGTGGCCAGGCCTCAGGGGGTTCCCGACTAATTCCCCCAATGAGAATTCCCACGGACCCCAACCTGGGTGAAGCACCACCCGCAGGCATAGTGAGATACCCCATAAGAACACCCAGTGTGTGTGTAGGATTATCCCCCGCCGAGATGGTCCCTACCACAGCCTAAGTTCGCTCTGTGTGGACTCTTGTATGGGTGCCATAGTGACGGGAAACATGCTAGCTGTACCCAGGGTCGACCATGGCACCCACATGTACTAGTACATACTGGTGAGACTGACAGATCGGAGGGTCCAACTGGCCACACAGAGGTATCACCGGTTTCAACGGTTTTGGCAGTTTTTTGGTTACGACGGTCTAGGCAGTAAAGTTGGTAAACCCTTCCCCTTTAATCTACCCTAACCTATCCCTCCCCTCCCCCACCCCCCCGGTCCCATGGTGGAGTCCAGATGAGACCCTGATCCCCAGACCCTCCCTATGGCCCTATCCAGCATACTACAACCATTGGACGTAGACCCCTTGGGCGGTGCACAGGCAGTGTCTGTATAAATCTTAACATGCGTCGTCCCTAGGGGGCGGGTGTGAATGGCTTGTGCGTTATGAAAGCACTTTTTGGTGTACGTGCGTGAGGCACTTTATTTTTTAATTTTTAAATTTTTTTTTTCCAGCGCTCGCAAGAGCGCCGACAAGCATGACAAAAAGGCGAATCTTTATGCAACTTGCGGTAGCCCAGATGCAGTGGGGAGAGCTCAATGAACAACAAGCCAAAGCAGTCCAGTGTGTTTAACAACCACCAATTTCTTCAAGTATTTCCAAAAGGCCGTGAGTCTCACAGGGGTAACTTGCGACACATCATGGCACAACTTGGGCGACTTGTTCCACCTGTTTAAAAGGTCTTCTCTATATCTACCTGCGGCAATAGAATTGTGTATTGAGGTACCTTTTTCATTTGTTCTTTAACGATCCCCTTGTATTATGCCTCTCACGTACAAGGCTGGCCACACTGATTGTGGTTGACCACCAGCTGTCCACATCCCTGTGTGCCTTAATGGCAGACTTGCACATTGCGATAGGAGGCAGAGTAAAGGGGGTTATACTCCTGTACATTTTTCTTCAGCTCTTCAGCTTGTATTTTGTCTGTTCTCTTGATGATGTTCATTCTAGTACAGGGGGAAAGAGGAAGGAAGACGTAGGAGGTGGAGTTCTATAAAGCGAGAGGCGGGAGGGAGGCGGGTGGAGGAGGGAAGCGGAGTGGCAAAGAACAAAACAGAGGAATGACAAACTTCAGAGGGTTCTCAATACTCACCGCTGGAGCATACTACTCTAAAATGACGTGAGAGGCCAGTCAGTGTTCGGGTTGCAGAAGATTTTGAGTTGAGGAGAAGCCGTTACCTAAGGTACAGACCAGACAGGACTGGTTCAGGTCTGGACTGAGGAAGCACCACATAGAATTCTCGCAGTTGCAGTTGGTGCATAGAATGGCACGGGATAGACAGATGTCACAGGCTACGTGGCTCCTACATGCTAGGAACACATGCACGCCCACCACAATTGTATAGACATTGCCATTCCAACCCCTGTCTACAAATTGGACATGACATGTCAGGGTGCTGTACATGAGTGCAATGTTGACTGTCATCATACGTATAAAAACAAAAACTTGTATGGAGTACTGTACTATGCCCTCATAATTCTCATGACAAAAGACTTGCTAATGACATGCTACCAGTCGAATCTCAGGTGGGCCATCACATAGCGGCATTTGAGCAGGTTTCTTGGGTTTCCGCAGTCATTATTTCCTCTCTATGGACAAAAGACGACGGTAACTGATCCAAAGAAAGGGTGTTTAGATGTTGCAGGATTTGGTCTGCAACATCTTGCCCTGGTGGTGATAACCTATCAGTACAGCACTCTGTAGGGGGGACATATGCTAGTCTATTTTCCTCCTCAGGGCTGTGTTGGTTGTTCGTCCGGCGAGGATGAAGGAGATCCAACTGTCATTGCAGCAGGTGTAAGCCCAACGCTGCATGCGCGACATGCTAGAGAGGATGTGGTGGGTGATGGCATCAGGGATAGTACAGGCAGCACAGACTCATACTTTCTATGACAGCTCCCGGAAATATTGACGACACATGGCATGTTGCTGACATGTCAGCAGGAAAAAAAGCTGACGTCCACAATTATGTAAGCATGGCATGTCAAGGCCACAAGTGAATGCTGGGCAAGTAATCAGGGCCGGTGGGGGGGGGGATGCGCACAAGACAATGGGTCGCAGTTTTCGACAGAGGCTGGCAGTGACCATCCTTTCAAAGTGTTCGGAGAAAAGACTATGCCGTGTACATGACCATCCCTACAAAGTGTTCGGAGCAAAGACTATGCTGTGTGCATGCTAACCGAACTGAAGCTGTGTGGAGTCACAAAGGCATGGCACATCCACCATCCTCTGGAGAGGCCCCTTCACTATCTGTGGTAGTATCCGACCGATCTACACAGGGAAGGGACGCTGCTTGGCCATGTACAGGGGACGGGGGAGGTTCAGCCGGATTGCCCTCCGGAGGCTGTAGAGCTTGTGAGTGCACATCCACATACTGGTCAACCAGCCAAACCAAATGAGATTCCACCGCCTGGTGATAGGAGTTAATATTTCCCACTGCATGCACCCTACCCCCATTATCCCATAGGGTCCATGAATTATCCACAAAGGTAATAGCACTGAAATGACCAGGACAATGTCTGCCTGTCCTCTCTCTCTCTCTCTCTCTCTCTCTCTCTCTCTCTCTCTCTCTCTCTCTCTCTCTCTCTCTCTCTCTCTCTGTGTGTGTGTGTGTGTG